GCAACGGGGGCGCGCCGAATCCCCGAATACCCTCACGCCTGCTAGAACCGTCGTGGCGGCGCCGAGCCACCGCACCACACCAGTACCGAGTCCCTGTAGGAATGATAGTATCACCGCTTCGCTTTGAGTAACATCGGAATCCTGCAGCCGAGCGCCGTGAGCCCCCGGAACAAAAGACTATAACCGCCGTAGTTAGACTTGAAGTCTCGTTGATTGATCCAAGTGTGCTCGTCGAATCCGGCCATGTCGAACTGGGTGGCGACAAAACGCCCAGGAGCCCGCATCCCGAAACAGTGAAAATTGCGCGAACAGATTTATGTACTTGATGTTTTGGGTGTTGCTGTGAAACACCTGAAGGCAAAGCGCCCCGCACCGCACATGCTTCTTGGTATTTCGACCCCGTGGGGTATATGGAAGACGTCATGTTCATCTTTGGTCCGCTGAATCGTGTGGATGGCGTTGAGAGAATGCTCCACTTGGATTAGGCAGTGCCTACCCCGCTTGGTTGGGCTGAATGTGCGGAAATTTCCATGTTGGTCGTGGCTACCTACTCGCGCTGCCACTGATTGGAAAGCCTCCACCTTCATCTCAAATCGCCCAATCCAGCGTCCCCACAGGTAAATGATTCACCGCCCTCACAACCCAAGGTACTTCATACACACATCTCCTCCATATTCCTTCCCTCCGTGCACAGCATTGTGTAAACCTTCTTTTGTGTATCTTCTGATAAGCGATTAACTACTCTTATTATGGCTGAGAAATAAATGTTTCCTTCCCTTCAGAACCTCCATTTCCCATCCTTTCAGCGGCCCTCAAAATGACCTCAACTGTACTGCAAACTCGAAATCCCCAGCGACCGGCGGGTGATCAAGCCCCCACGAACGACTTCTATTCGCGCACGCCCATTTTCAACATATACGCTTAGGCATGAGATGCTTATGAAAGGTATGCATATACCATCATCTACCCCCCCTCTCCATGTCAACGGCCCACGAGCCGGGCTCTGCCACAGCGGTATACTGAGGCGGGGCCTGAGGCTGGGCTTCTCTCCGTTTCGCACGAACTGAAGCAACAAAGTGCTGTGTTTCCCTCGCATTGACCTTGTGCATGTTCTCATGACTGTTGTCACTCCATTCAAAGGTCCATATCGCATGCCCAGGCCCGTACCACCGGTTTGGTGGTTCCGAGTTCTGATGTGTTTTCCAGCTGTCACAAGTCGCCTTGCCGTCGCCGAGACATTTCCAGGTAGTGAACACCAAGAGCTTGCCGTTGGACCGACCGGGGGCAACATCAGGCACTATGTTGATTGCGTAGTCGGTATAGCAATGTGGGCAGCTCCTCCTGCAACACAGATGCCAGTATTTGTGTGTTGGAAAGGAGGCAATCGGTAGGTACGTACAGTGCTGAGAATGCGACACTGTAGACGCAATTGCAGTCGGCTGCGTGGAACAGTGCACACTGCAGTCGTTTGTGGATTTGGCCGTGGATGTTGCCGTTTGCTGCCAATGGCTGCAAAGGGGCAGTGTCGCTGACTTGAGTACCGATGGGAAGCGAGAAGGTTGGGTCAAGACCAAACTTTCCCATATTCGGGATGAGGAATGGATACTCTTCCGCCCATTGAAGGTGTCTGCAGATAGGGTCGGCATGCGTGAGGGTGTGTCCGATTTCGTACAGGGTACGAGCGGTAGCTGTGTGGTCAGGCCCTATATAACTCGCCAACACATCTTGCTGCCGCATGGTGAGGGTCCGGTAGTCGCGGTGGATTTTGAAGCGGGTGGACGAGAATCCACGCCCCGTTGATTGACCAAAAGGCCTGGTAAGGTCAGCCGCCAGCTCCTCGGTGGTGGGAGCGTCCACTTCATGCCGGCCCGTTTTATGTGGACAATAGTTCCAGGCCTCAGCAACCGCATCCAGTGTGGGCAATCGACAACCCCCGGTTCCATCAAAACGGCCAGGTTGGCGTGGCTCTGGCCCTCCCTGTGGCGTGGCGACAGGGGAAGGTTTCCCTTTTTCGTCGCTGCCTGTCCACACCGATGACATAGCGGTCCTGATCCTTTCCCGGCGGCTAGACATGTCGATGGATGGTGTTGATGGATGGTGTCGATGGATAGTGTTGATGGATGGTGTCTATGGACGGTGTATCAAGAATTGCTGCGCAACTTTCTCGTCGACATCGCTTTTTATAATCGAGCCGAATTTTCCCTTGCCAGATACAAGGTTTTGGTGGAGCCGTCAGCCACAAAGTAAATCGGAACCACATGGCTGCGGTTCCGGCCGTTACTTAGGTTCATCAGAGCCGTGGTGCGGGCCAGGCCACGCGGGTCCGAGAAGCAGCGGTGTCTCGGCCGTATGTCCTGGGCGAGTTGAAGCGACACCTCAGAGTATCTGTATAGGTAGATTGATCTCGCTCACCTGTTCCGCCATGCCCAAGCCTCGCCACTGTTGATCGAGATTTGGCGGGATTCCACAGAGAGAGTCCGTCTATTACCACCACAGGGCCCTAGTAACATCTTGTAACGCCTTGTTAACATCTTGAAAGGTCTTGATGATCGCTCAAAACGCCTGAGGCATCTTACAAGGCCTTGTTGACATCTCAAAAGGTCTTGATGGTCGCTCAAAACGCCTCCGAGGCATTATAAAACGCCTTAAAGATGTCATCAGAGGGGTTTAATGCATTCCGTGAGGCCTTCCTGTATTATAATAAGCCCTTAACTACTTTATACAAGGCATTGGTCACATACCTTATATTGCCTTTACGGTGCAAATAGACATTTCTCCTCCAAAAGTGTGAAAAGTTCTCGAGATTTTTTCGGGAAGCCTTGACACACCAATCAATGAGGCTTTCCTATATTTTCTTTGAGCTTTGATAAAAGGTTTTAACACTTCTTACGATTCTTTGACGTTTTCTCGGTTATCAGAAAGCCATTCCAGTCCGCAAATTAGGAGGAGATGTCTAGCGATGTGCTTCTAGCCTTGCGATGGAGAAATGTGAGATGGCGCGAGGTGAGGTCAGCCTCCCCCTCGCACGAGGAGCCCGCCAGATCAGGATCCTCTTGCTCCACCCCGGCGAAGCCGACGATGCGATCGTCTGCTTTCTCGAGACGGTTTGTCTGGACCATCAACCGGAGTATGAAGCGCTTTCCTACACATGGGGCGACCCCTCGGACACCCGTAAAATCTCTGTCAACAACCAACAATGCGACATCACTGTCTCGCTACAGAACGCCCTGATGGCTCTCCGCGGAGCTCGGAATGTTCGGCGTGTCTGGGCCGACGCCATCTGCATCAACCAATCTGACAACGATGAAAAGATGGACCAGGTGCAGCAGATGGCGTCCGTGTACGCCTCTTCCAGGCGTGTTCTGGCATATATTGGGCCTGCTTGTGATGGCTCAGACGAGTTGATGGAGGCCATCATGAGGAGGTCGCAGGCTGGTGCGGGCGATGAGCCTGATAAGTTCAATGCACGACAGTGTCTAGCTGCTCATGATCTAATCTCTCGCCCGTATTGGGAACGAATGTGGATTATCTAGGAGATAGCCATGGCGTCCGACATCATCATCGGCTGCGGGGATAAATGGATCGATTGGTTCGCTTGGGGACCCAAGTTTGTTAGGGAGCTGTTCAAGGATGTGATTTTGAACATTCGGGAGCTTCAAGGCCAGCAAGAGCAATCCTCAGGAGGTGGTGTCTTAGCTGCGCTAGAGTCCTTGAGAAACACCCTCCTGTCCCACCCCTCCGGGCTCAGATGGTCTGAAACAGGCCGGCTTCGAGATCTCATCCGGTATTCAAAACACTTAGCAACCTTGGACCAACCCCCGAAAGAGCTTTCTCTTTTTTGGCACCCCTCCTCGAAAGAAAACACATACATGTACCAATCCAACGCGGTATTGCTCCTCAGCTTCTGCATGACACGCAAGGCCACCGACCCCCGCGACTACGTCTACGCCTTGCTAGGGCTTGTTTTATGTCGGCTTCGAGACCGGGATCCTGGGCCGCTCCTCTGCTCGCCGGATTACACAAAGAGCATCGAAGCTGCCAACATCGCTGCGGTCAAAATGGCAACAGATCTTGACGGGAATCTCGAGGTTCTTACTCTGGCAAACCATCCGCAGCGGCCGTCACAGCCATCCTGGGTCCCCGACTTTGGAGCTTCTATCACGCAGAAGTATCCTTCGTACAGCCATCCAACGATTAACCAGCCACTGCGACTCTACGGACTCGGAAGTGGCAGGCCGCACAATCAACGACCCTTCCATTTTTCTGAGGATCTGAAGAAGCTCTATGCCCCCGGGACGGTGTTGGACTCTATTCATGGAACCATGGACCTCAGCTGTTATGACCACGACCCCATAGGCACCATTCGCCGAGCAAATGATTGGATCGTCAAAATCTTCAGGCGGAATTTCGGGCTGCCTGCCCCAAACGCAAGTGTCGCTCACTACGAGGCTTGGAGGGATGCTGTTCATGGCCACCTTGTTCACTCGGCCGGGAGGGCACCCCTCGAGGAGGAATATCTCAAACTCTTCCTTCATATCGTATGTGATGGATCTTTTGAGTCGCGGTGTACCCCGGATATGCTTATCACGGTACTATCGCCCGCTTTGTTATTTCAACAGGGCTCACCTCGTCGACGTCTCTTCGTTACTTGTGCGGGCCGAATAGGATTTAGCTCGCCGCAGTGTGAGGGTGGTGACCTTGTCTGTAAGCTCCTCGATTACAGTGTCCCGGTCTTGCTTAGAAGGATGGGTGGCGGTACTAGTACTTTTTCATTTTTCGGCGAGGCGCAATTCGGTGCCCGGGCTATGGACGGATTGATGAATCTGGAGAAGGTCCGAGCCGGAAACGTTTCAGAGTTTGTGATTATTTGAAGTTGAGGGGCTGTCCCGAGCCAATCCTCAGCAAAGTCTGAGCCGCGTCTGAGCTGGGGGTGAGCAAGGTGTGGTGCGAGGGAAGGCATTTTCCTGATCAAGACTTCATCGTACACAACATCAAGTATTGGTCGAATGGTGTAGTTGGTTATCACGTCAGTCTAACCCACTGAGGGTCTCCGGATCGAACCCGATTCTAGTCGCTTCCAAGCGAGCGCGAGTCCTTTTTGCTTGTGGATGCAACTACATCCCTGTTCTGATCCACTTGATGGTGAGTGACTCGCGTACCATTTTAACTTCCAGGGCTGGGACAAGTGTTAAGCAAAAAAGTTGACATTATTTTTTAATCATATAGCATCTAGTACACCCAAAACCCTAATAACTAATTGCCCCCAAGAATGCCCGCAGCAATCTTCTCAGCCAGCGCATAAATCGCCGCCTGTGGATGCCCCAGCAGCGCAAACGGCAACGCCGAAGCATCCACCACACGCAAGCCATCCACGCCAAAGACCTTGGCACGCCAGTCAACAACAGCGCCCGCGGAGGCGTTCCTGCCCATGGCATTTGTCGCCGAGGCGTGCCAGATCTGGATGCAATTTGCGCGGATGTACGCCAAGATGTCTGCATCGGACTGGACTGCGGCGCCAGGGGTCACTTCAGGCCCGACCTTGACGGGGCCGACAGCAGGCGAGTTCCATGCCTGGCGTAGGCGCTTGAAGGCGGCGAGGGCGACTTCGGCGTCGGCGGGGTCGGTGAGCCAGCCCATGTCGATGACGGGCTTGTCGGCGATGCTGGCGCTGGAGATGGTCACGGAGCCGCGGGAAAAGGGGTTGAGGATGGCGGCGCTGAGGTCGGCGACGGTGGTAACGCCATTGCCAGTGCCGGGGAAGCTGCCAGCGGGATACTCAATCTCAGGGACGTCGAGGGGCAGACTGGCCAGGAGGCCCGCGGTGCGGACGGAGAACCCGAGTCGGGAGGAGAGGGGGAGTTTCTCGAAGGCGATGTATCCGCCGGCGGAGCTGAAGGGGCCTGCGGCGTTGGTCTGGTACTGGGCGAGGATGGCAGCTTGGCGGGCGGGATCGGCGAGCTCGCTGGCCAGAGACGGGGTCTTGACGCCGCTCTGGACGGAAAAGAAGATGGGGTCCTGCAGGTTCTGGCCGACGCCGGGGAGGTCGGCCACGACGGGGATGCCGAGGGACTGGAGCTTCGCCTGCGGGCCAATGCCGGACAGGAGGAGCAGCTGGGGCGAGTGGAAGACGCCGGCCGAGAGGATGACTTCCTTGGTGGCGGTCAAGGTATAGCTGGCACCGCCGTTGGTCGAGACGGTCACGCCGGTGGCCTTCTTGTTGGTGTTGAAGAGGATCTTGGAGGCCTGGGTGCGGGGGTAGACCTTGAGCTGGGTGGCCTGCAGGGCCCAGTCGAGGTAGCTGGGCTGGGTCGACTCACGGGTGGCGTCGGGTGCGATGGTCTCGGTGGTGTATGCGCCGCCGCCGAGGATGCCGCTATTGAAGCCGAGGAGGTTGGGCAGCAGGCCGATGGCGTTGAGGGCAACGGCAAGCCACGTGTTGGTCGGATCGACCCAGTTTGAGTAGGAGACGTCGACGGGACCGCAGGTGGGCAGACCAGCGCAAAAGGCCGTCGGGTCGTAGACAAAGGTGGCGTTGGGCGTAGCACGCTTCGTCCAGTTCGGGGGCGTGAGACGCGTCGACTTCTTGAAGAAGGGCAGCATGTTGACCCAGGAGTAGCTGGAGTGGCCCACGGCATCGGCCCAGCGGTCGTGGGTGCCGCAGGTGGGACGGTGGTAGGCCATGGTGTTGACCGCCGAGGTGCCGCCCAGCGTCTTGCCAGCCGCATAGTGCACCTTGCGGTTGTTGGCACCCGTCTGCGGCTGCGACAGCAGTTCCCAGTCCAGCAGCGGGATGGGAGGGAAGAACTCGATGGGCGCCAGCACGGGGTTGCTGAAGGCGTATCCCGGCACCACCGTCAGGTTGCCCATCTCGGTCGCAAACCCGCCCGCCTCCACCACGGCCACGGACGCACCCGATTGCGCAAGCCGCGCAGCGATCGCCAAGCCGGCCGTGCCAGACGGGCATAACCGCTATCCGCGCCTCTAAAGTCGGGTACTCAGCGTGGTCAAAATTGCCAATATTGACTGGCGCGGGTTGTTCGCCTGACAAAACACGCTTGGAAAAGTCCAGACTCCATGGTAGAGAAACGCCAGGGCGCCCGGCCTTCTTCCAAATATCAACCCAAGAATAGTTCGCAGTGCTGAACGGGGGATGATTCGCCCGAGACGCCACAAGAATCTTGAAGTTCTGAGCGTCGGTGCCCTCACGATGTCTGCAATAATCGAAGTTGTGTCTCCCCTCGTTGCAGAGTGGACAACCGTGGACGAATCCGTCATCGCGTGGCTTTACGCAATCGATGATTCCATGGCCGCTGCGCTTACAGTTTCCGCATACAATGGCACTTGGATCCTGGTCCTTTCTTTTCCTTGGCTGGGGAGCCCGACTCTGTTCTCTCTTCTCAGTGCTCTGGGAAGGAGCCTTTGCAATGGGCGCTTTGCGATTGTCGAATGGGGCGTTGAATGACTGCTGCATCCCTGTCCGAATAGCTGGCGTCCCCTGCGAAGGTAGCGTTACGTTGTTCGTCCCGTTGAAGGTGTAGTTGTACTGAACAAGTTGGCTCGTGGCATATGCATCCCGTTGCCCCGTGGACTGCTGGCGGCCTGAAGCGCTTCCGGGGTAACCATGTTCGTAGATGGTCCGATGACCTCGGGAACGGGTGTTATCCCAAAAGTTTGCCTGGCCGTGACCATGCTGCCCTGTGTGGGAAGGACGGGGACCTCTCGAATCCGAAGGATTGCGATGAGGTCGACTGCTGCGACTTCTGTCTCTGTCGTCTTTGTTGTTGCCTTTATTCGAATTGTAATTCGGTCGTTGAGACATTTTGGTGATTGTGTAGGAGGGAAAGAAAGGGAAAAGATTTCGAGACAGTCGAGGAAATACGTGCACCAAAGACTTCTGCAAGAAGTGGTCAATGCACACGTGTCTGAGTGGGCCTTGGAAACAGATGGGATAGAATTGGAGTTTGCTCCATGGCACACCCCGGCCGCCCAGGGTATCCCCCATTTTCAAAAAGCACATGGTTGCCATAGAATCAAGGCGGCACTCCCCGCCCGTGCGCTTTAATCCAATCTGCTGAATGCACAGCCGTAGCCAAAACACCAAGGTTTGCCGTTGTGATACTTTGAGTTTAGCAGTAAAGACTGGGTTCTTTGTAATGGCAACTCCCAAACCTTGAATGATACCGGGTGGACCAGGCTTATGTATGGCTACGGTGTGCTACGAGCCTAAGTGACGAATGTGAAATGGACTCTCTGGAATTGGGCGTGCTATGACGTATGCAGAGCGCCTTAGATTCAGCGGAGGCTTCACCCTCATTTAAGATTCTACATGAATGCAACAGGCCTTGCCATTGCCTCCATCCTTTATCCACGCGGCACATGCACTAGCTCCCTTGTACCTGACGTTGAGACATGTCAAACTTAGTGTCCCTCTTGCATGTCCAATGTTAATAGACACTTTACGTTCCGCACGGGAATTGGAATCGCTAACACTCAATACACTTGTATGCTGATGGTGCCCGGTGTTGGCGGCTCACCACATAAACAACGGCCTTCGCTGAGGAGCCCTGCTAGGCAGGACATGACTCCGTGTTCCGGGTTTCCTGGGTCGTAAAGCAGAGGGGGGTAAATAGAGGTCACGGGGTGTTCAAGATGGATTCGTGGCCCCAGTTTTGAGGCAGCCAAAAAAGCGTGGACCGCATGACCGCCCTCGGTACAGGAGGTTTTCTCTCCACCGCTCTCGAGTGGGGGTTTTTTTCCCTACTGCATCACACAACACCGAAAAAATGAAGACCGAAAAGGAATACGCGATATACTTTATGGAGAAATTCATAGAGTTGATCAATCACTACATTGGCCAGTATGGTCATGAGGACAAAATCGAACCTCTTGATGAGGTAATTGCCCAAGTCATCGACGAGCAAGGAGCCAAAGCATCCATTGCAACGATGGCTTGGCAGGTTCATCAAGCTGCATTCTTCATCCTTCGCAGTTCCGGTATGATTTCTTCGCGGTTCGACCGACTTCCTTGACGAGCGCTAACTGAAACAGGTACTAAATACGGATTCAAGAAGCCGAAGAATGGCGGGGACTGGCAGTTTATCGACTGGACACCGGTCTTGGCCGCTGCAAAGACGTCGGGATACCACTTGGCCCAGCAGTTTCGGCTGCTGGTCGAGATGTATGTGCCCGAAGTGCGTCAACTCGATCAGCTCCCATTCGCGACAGGACAAAAGTATGCCAGCTTCTTTGCGGCGTGCCCCCGAGCTCCGCATCAAGACACTGCCCCATCTGGACGAGGGACAGAGGAATTTCAGCAGCGAGCATCGAGTAGTGGCCTGTCTAAGCGTTCTGACGGAGCCAAGCCGTTCGCGGCCGCGGCGTCCGCGTCACATACCACGAGCAGTGCCCGCCCAGACAAGATAACCATGCCGCCTGCGGCCGACGTACTTGTCATGAGCCAGGGCGCACCGGGTATCCCATCGGTCCCGATCACAGGAATGCTGCAGGGCAGGAGCAACGGCCCCCAGCAGCAGCGGCACCGATCGAATCGAAACCCAAGGATCCGTGGGGCGATTGGTACAAGCGCCAGGACGGATTCCCCTGGACAGACTTGGACGAGCAATTCGAACGCCTTTACGTTGGCCACTTCAAGCTCCCGCTCGTCAAGGTCAAATCCAAGAAGGGTCAATCGGAAACTTGCTTGCCACCTTGGTCGGTTCCATACCCCCTATCGGCCACCACGGACGTCGACCTCAGCACAGACGAGCATGGCGACGAAAAGAATGGCAAAGCCATGATACGTTGGGGCTTGAATGGGTTGAACTTCCACATAGTCGAGCGTGATGGTTACATTCGGCTTTGTCTTCCACCTGGATACCAGAAAGCCCAGGGCACAGGCATCAAGACTCTGGTCTTGGAAGATGTAACGCTGATGGAGAATATCCCCGTCGCATTCACAAAGCTTCTTTTCTGGGTCAAGTGCATGGCGGAAGAGAAAAAGGTTATCCCCTTGCCATTCTTCCTTCGCTCTCATCCGCGAATCGGAAACTTGGCAGAGAGACGCACAACCATGGA